TGTTGTTGAGAATGCGTTTGGCATTGCTTCTAGTGTTTTTCGCGTTGTCACCGCTCCGCATCCGTGGGACACGCTGAAAGGGAAAAAGAAAACAAAACAAACACAAAGGAAAATCTGGACAAACACGTAGCCTGGTTACAGCGGTGATCAAAGATCTGTTGCCGGCCGCTCGTCGGTGTAGGTCGAGGTTAAACTAAAAGAGTGCAAAAAAAAAATCCCAGGCGCCAGAAGCTGTATATAAGGTATCAAACAGATCGTGGATGGTTCTGCTTCCGCTTCCAAAGCAGACGAAACTGGCTGAAGTCAGACTCAGGAACACTAAATAGAAATAAAAGAAAGTAGGAGAGACGAAGTAGGCGAAGAAAGAAAGGTGCACAATATTTATTTATTCGGTAATCAATATAAAGTTCTGAAGAGATAGGTTAATTAGGGGAAGTGATAAAATTGGTTTTTGTATTTCACGGGACAACAAAAATTAGGTGGTGCGAGAATTATACCTGACGGCAACAAGAATAGTATAACAAAGGTTAGTGCCAGTAGACGTATACCGGTCAATGTTATTGATCAAAGTTAAAGGTTTGCAGGTTGCCGTGGAAAGATCTTTCATCGAGACGTGCAATTAGAGTGCTGCAGACAGACAGCAGTTATTCAGATTTAGGTAACTCTTGTTTTAGTCTTACAAAAATTTAAAGTAGTTGAAATGAATCACCGTGAAGCGGTAGTTGTATTGCACCTGACAGTTTTATACTTGAACTACAAAGGTAGTTGTCAAATATTAGTTTACACAAATTATAATTATAAACAGATTTTATTGAATAGATAGGTATGTGTGAGGTGAATGATTAAGGATATGAATGCATAACTGAGGACAAGAGATTACAGGGAGATAAGATAAGAGGGAAAAAGATAAGAAGGAGTAAGGGAAGAGAAGAAAGGGAGTGAGTGACTTCAGGGGTAGTTTTGGGAGAGGTTGCTGACCTTTTGGTGTTTTAGTAGCCGATGGTTGTATAACTGAAGATGGTTCTTCGGAAGCTGGTATAACTCGGGGTAGATACAACAATAGGTGTGCCTCGGCTTCGATAACCCTTGGTGCTATCCTGAAGTTCTGATAGAAGAAATGGAAGTGACGCTGACGAAGACGGAAGAATAGGTAGTGTCCAGTGACGTTCGATTAATTATATAAAATTGATTTCCAGAGAGAATAGAATGGCTAAAAGAATTTATACCTAAATCCCGTGCAAGATGGTAATAAGTTGGCTTACCTCTACAGGTGTTGAACGAGCCTAAGTTTTATGCTGCCATGTGGTTAATGATCCGCATAACGCGTAAAACGCCAAATCACAATTGGAACAATTGAAACGTAAGTAAATAATAATTACGGCGTAAATGTAGCTTAAATTCTTGATAATCCTCACAGATGAGCCGGATAAAACCCAGTTAAGAATTTGTAGCTTCACCACATACAGACAAGTGTCTTACAATGCCACAGGAAGAATGAATTCGGGGAAAAATCAAGAGAACTAGGGATTCCCCTTATCTATTAGGTAATACAAATAATGAAACCGAAAGTTTCCTAAATTCAAATTGTAGGACAAAGAAAGAAGACCTAGATAAGCTGAGAGAAAGAATAGGAAGATTTTTAAATGTGAACAGTTCGATGTTATCAGTAAGATTAAGATGTGAAATCACAGAAGAGAAAGGAACAATGAACTAGGAAAATTGAAATGTTATAACCCGTAATTAATGGACAAGACATAAAGTAAAAACCCAAACCCAACCCACCCCAAACAAATTAAAACCCAGGAAAATCCCCAATAAAAAAAAATAGACCAACCCCTGGAGCTGACAGAAAATAGAGTACTCCTGAAACCCGTCCCATAGAATAGAAAACAAGGAAAGATGAAGAGTGAAGAGCTCAGATAGAGGAGCGAAACTTACATTCGAAAGGAAAATGAAAGAAGTGAACGTAAGCCTCTAAGGTAGACCTGTCCTTAAAACATTCCCAACCTGCCGCCCGAATTGAATGTAAATTAAACCTAGATTCTGGAGAAAATATAGAAAATTAACCGTTACAGCGTCTTGCGAAAACCGATACTTTTAGAACCCGAAAAGGCACAACTCATAGTAATGACAGTAGTTTGCCTCCACAACTTTTTGCGCAGAAGCCAAACTTCAAGAAATATATATACGCCACCTGGTTGTTTGGATAGTGAAGTCGATGGAAACACAATACTCGGCAATTGGCGAACTGATAATCAGGAAATATCATCATCACTTTTACCAGTAAGGAACATACCACGAAGAAGCAAACCAGTGCCTACCAACATAAGATTGGAATTTACTGAATATTTTTGTAGCAATGGCGCAGTTCCATGGCAAAGCAAATGTGCCTAAATAAATAATATTTATCTGCTTTCTCTTTATCAATAAATTATTACCTAACAATTAATTTCATTTGTTTTTAATTAATCGTAATTATTATTAGTGATAAATAAATCATTTCAGAAGGAGGTCAAAATAAAATATTAAGTTTGTTGGGGTAACGTAGGGGGTAGATTATTACTTAATTGGTTTGTTTTCGCATGATCAGCTTAAAACCGTTTGAAACTACATAGACATAGACTACAGCAAAGAAATTTAGTCTAAAGGATCAGGATAATAATAATGATTTATATGACATCTAGTAAATAATGATCACACGGTCTTGAGTAATGATACCACACTCTGTAAAATGTGTTAATGTTAAAAATTACCGAGATAATCGTACAAAAATAATAGTAATATAAATAAAACCTAGGTGAGTACTTACATTTATGCTTCTCCGGGGCTCATCTTTGTCATCCAGAAATCTGAGGTAGTCGAAAGCAAACCATTGTGACGTATACGTTTCGTCCTTTCCTAAAAATAGAAGTTTACGATTTACAGACGGCGCCAAACAATTTGCAAGTTAAAAATTAGTCAATCATATGTTTCCTACCTTTCCCTGTTCCGATACTCTTCTTTGCTTTAGCCCTTTCTCTTCTATAAGATCCCTTCAAGCTCTCAACTTTTTTCTGTATATTTTCTACATCTCTACCACATATTTCTGCGATCTCCCGCCAAGCATCATCTTTCTTTACTTTGTTAAAATAACTAGGATGTCGAGGATTCCATAATATAGGCCTCTGATGGTATAAATCTATTATTTCCAAACACTGTTGTCGCGTGAAATCCATGATTGTATGTCCTTTCCGTTCCCTGTCGATGTCCACACTGAGCACGTATGAGCGTGTTCGCCGCAAGCGCTCGCTTTGATCTACCGACAAAATTTGGATCGGGTCGAGCGTGCTCGGCGCACGTTGCTCAGTCGTCCACATTAGAATGCTCATTCGCGCTCGCCTTTGCTCATTCGGACCCAATGCTCAGATGTATACGCGCCTTAAGAAAGCAATATGCAAATTAGCAGGTCGGTATTGTCACAAAGCACCTTTGTTAATTATCGGACCGCAATTAGCGCAATTCAACTATTTATAACCCTTGTTGACAATACATACAGGTAGTAAACTTTTGTATTGAATTTGTGAAATATAAGATTTAGTTTGTACACTTCTTTCGAACTCTTCTGTTCTAGCTGTTGGCCCATATATGAGTATAGGTTTAGTTGTTTAAGTTTAGTGTGTTTTGAACTTGTATTTTTGGATTGTGCTGTTTTTTACTTCATATACGTGCGGTTGGTGTATATATTTTGTGAAACTAGTGTTTGAAATAAGGTAAGTACCAACATTATACACACATTTTTACTCCACATCAAAAATGAGCAGTTATGCGACAATTCCAAAATCGCAAATTTTAGCATTCCATTGTTTTGCTTTCTCCACGAATCTCAACTAGTAGATTTCTAAAAATGCAAAAAAGTTTTGTCTGTCCCACAGGGTTCTAGGTAAACCTTTTACCGCCCTTGTCATTGTAAAGCCTATATTTGGTTTATGTTAAGATTAGCTTTAAATAAGGATTTTGCACTTGCCAAAAAGTACTATTTGCTATTGCCATATACCATATTATACAGTGTGTCTAAATGATCGTGTTAAGCAGGGGGATCTCGGAAACGATAGAAAAGACAAACTTGGTTAAATGAGAGAAAAAGATCAGCACGTAAACATTAGTTAACAGAGACGTAATTTAAACATTTTTTTTGTTAGATCTCTATATCGAAAAAACTGAAATTTTGTATTTTCATTTGTTTCCTGAACTTTTTATCTAAAAAGATAACTTCAAAATTCTTTGACTTGATTAAGGCATTTTTTAATGTACATTAAGAGTAATTTATTATATTTTTAATGGCATTTTTCCAATTTCGGTGTTACAACCCAAACTTATATTTTTTAAACTCAAATTATGGGCGGATATAACATCAATCGAAATAATGCTCTCAATCTCCTTTTAAAAAAATTAAGTTTAATTCACTTACCTTTAGACACAAAAAGTTATTGCAAAAAACTATCTTTTTTGTATCTGAGGTATAAGAAACAATACATTAACATTGCTTTGGAAAAAATCAAAAGAATCGCAGTTATCAACAATCGATTTTCATAAATGAATAACTAATTGCTGTTTGTTTGTAAGTCAATAAGCGCTTTAGTGTGTGATTTAACAGTTACTTCGTAAATGTTGCAAGTGCTTGGAAAATAATGGACAAATGTCATCATAGTCTGTAATGTCGGCTTTAGGTACTTTTAATTTTAGGTTTTTCTATTGTTTTTTTGCAAATCTGTTGATCTACTGTTTCATTTACCTCAAAGATACAAAAAAACACAACATAGGGATTTATATGAGAAAATGCTGATAAGAATTACAGCTAGAATAATAACTCAGAGTGCATTTAACAGGGAATTTAATTCTGAAGCGGTATTATATTAATGTGCAGTTTTTCAATCACTGGAATTTCTTTTTAATATGATACACTTATAGTGATTAAAAAATTGTGCAAATTAATACAATTCACTTCGGAATTAAATTCTATGTCTAATATAATTTTAATTCTCATTTTTCCTGTAATCGTGACGGACCTATCGACATAATTATATTTTCCTATGTAAATTCAAGTATGTGAAGTTAGCAACGAACGATGGCCAGCAACGCGTGACGTCATAACCAGGATGCGTGTAACGAAAGTTGACCCCCTAGAATACATGGGGAAAAAAGAAAATCGCTCGTGACGGGAAAACTATCACCTTTGACTACTATCGGAAAATTGTTTTGTGTTTTTAATACACGGAACAATTTAAATATAAAATTTAATGTAATTATCTCAACAAATAAAAAAGTTATAGAGCGTTGAAGTTGACCAATTGCCCTATACATTTATATAGGAGAAAGGTCGATTCGTTGTTGGTCTATTAATCAAAAAGTATCGCCTTTGTCTAGTAGCGGTAAACTGTTTTCAATTTGTAATGTATTGAACAACTAAAATATAAAATTTCATCAAGTTATCTTAAAAAATAAAAAAGTTACAGAGCGTTAAAGTCGCCCAATTGCTTTATACATTTATATAGAAGAACGGTCAATTCGTTGCTGGTCTATTACTCAAAAAGTATCGTCTTTGTCTAGTAGCGGTAAACTGTTTTCAATTTGTGATGTATTGAACTAATAAAATATAAAATTTCATCAAGTTATCTTAAAAAATAAAAAAGTTACAGAGCGTTAAAGTCGCCCAATTGCTTTATACATTTATATAGAAAAACGGTCAATTCGTTGCTGGTCTATTACTCAAAAAGTATCGTTTTTGTCTAGTAGCAGTAAACTGTTTTCATTTTGTAATATATTGAACTAATAAAATATAAAATTGCATCAAGTTATCTTAAAAAATAACTACAGTTTATACGACAAACAAAATATGACGGTTTTGTGAACATCTCCACGTTGTGCTGAAATATGAGTTCTTTTAAACCATTAATAAACCCATGCCGATTTCAAAAACAGCAGCACAGCTAAATAATAACTTAAAAGTCACTGCATAGCTTGTTGCAGTTTTGTTATTATATCTAATACAACCACAACCATATTCTACCAATAAACAACAATTAAAATAAGTAAACAATAAAACATTAAATATCGTAGTCTGAAGGGTTCCCCGTCTAATTCCGTCTTTTCTTGTGAAGTTTTAATTTTATGTATGTACTATATCTATCTAATAGCATAAAATTTGACAATTCGTGAGCAATAAAACGTAAAAATGTTTATTTTACAAAACACTAAAATAAAAAACACGCGCTATAGTGATGACGAAACCTTCAGATTTCGTTGTATACATTATAATAGTAATAACAATAAAACATCCACCACCACCTAAGCAAAGCAAAACAATAATTTAAAAGTCGCTGCATACTATTCTGCATCCTTGTCGCTAAAGTAACCATAACCACCTAACACCTAATGTAATAATACTATTAATAATCAACCCACCACCGAAGCTACAAAACAAAACCACCACCACTTACATTTACTGTTGGAACCAAATGGTTTCTAGTCGCTCTAACCCATCCAAATTAAGATGCACACCATCTCTGTAAAAAATAATGGTTAGAATGCTAATGGAGCCGTAGTTTTCTTGCTTACCTTTCAAAATATTTTGGGTTGGAAAAAAATGATTCGACGTCCACCACGACAACTCGACCTGCAAATCAAATTAGTGGTTAATATATTTAATTATATGTTTAATAAAATACTTACGGTCTTTAACACGTCGAACAAAATCGTTGAATTTATTTAACGTGTCTCTTTGATCGCCCGTTGCTCTATGAATAGGCAAGATTGTACATAAACGAATGTTTTGGACGCCTTGGTTTTTTATCGTGGCCAGTAATCTCAGTAGAGACAGTTTCATACTGTTGTATGGAGTGTTCTACAAAATAAAATGTTAGAAAATCTTTGCAAATATATTTTTAAACTTACTCTTAAGACGTCGTTTGTCCCTATCATGACAAATACTTCTGAAGCTAATCGGTATTGATAACCAGCCGCTCTGCACCGAACCACGCGTTTCTGAAGTTGAGATATCGTTTGGCCTCCAATGGCTAGCTGGCTGAAGATTTTTTTTCTTCTCGGATTGTGCACCTCTTGCATATGGCCATAGGCGGTTGTGCACAAATCCTAGTGAGAAAACGGCGGACGTTAGATGCACCCAAAAATTGGACTTCACTCTGAAACACACAGTATAAGAAAAAAAACAAAACAAATGTACAAATAAACAAAAATAAAACAATTGATAGGTACTCACCTCAGAAATAAGCAGCATGTTGCAAAATAGTTTTACACAATAAATGATAATCGACACAAAAACGAAGACTATACTGGTGTCAACACAATACATTGCTGCATTTATAGTCCTAATGAAAAATAGCCTATTAATTAATTAATCATGTACCTACAGTAATTACATATGATTATATAAGTAAAGAAAGTGACAAATTAGTAAAGTAGAAAGCTTATTTCTAAAAATGAAATTGATGACGCAACAAAAATTCCTTACATACATACCTAAGAAAACTCAAATAATTTTATACACTTTTTATAGAATCATTTGGTTGGTTTTTAGATTTTTTTTTAGCAAATGTTCATTCGTATCTATGAGTCACAGATCAACACTAATATAGATAATTATTCCTTCAGCGCGGATAGCAGAGATTTATTCGGGTGGGTAAAAAAAGTTTTTTTTTGCTACCTTTTAAATTCAAAGTTTTCATTAAAAAGAATATTTGGGTATTCAAAAACAAGATCTAATTGAACCACCAGTACCAGTAGCCCATGGTTGACTATTCCCCCGCTTAAAAATTTAGATTTTTTTATTAAAAGTCTTTCATAAAAATTTCGTAATAAAAATTTTGCCAAATAGTTAAATTGTCAAAAATACTGGAAAACTTAGAAAATACTTACCTTGAACGGATTTTTGGTTCCGCAATTGTATTGGTAATGACATTGTAGTTGCCGACTGTTGTATCATGCTTTGAGCAAAAAATAGTTAAAACACAACAGTTTTCTTATGATAGATAGAACTGTGTATAATAAAATTTAAAAATTATCACAACTCTGGGATACTGTGCGCTCACAAAATCTTGTTAAAATATTTTTTAGATTACCAAATATTTTTTCTCATAAAAAACTACTAAACGACCCACCCTTAAATGTAAACTTCTGTAAGAACATTCTTTGTTATAAAATTTATACTATAATTTTTTTATGTGTTCATATAAGCAATGTTATTTTTCTTATGTACACTTGTAAAAAACAAGTCGACGTTAAAGGTGTATTCAACGGAATAGGTTTATTAGCGAAATGAAAATGATACTCCCGTTACCATTTCAACGCATGAAGGATAATTGAATTTTATTTGTTGTATTGATGCATATATCATTGTTTTCATAATTTTGTCATCAATCTTTTTCCATAAAAATCTAAAACAAAAATCAAGTCGCCTATTAAAAATTTTTTTTTTGTTGAAATATCAAATATTTGTTATTTTTTATTATATTCAAAACCGCATAAATCTAAAATAGCGCCCATAAGAAAAACAAAAGTTGAGCTGTGTATCTTCCGTATCAGGGCGGCTATGAAAAGGAAAAAAATAAATACCAATTCTTGGTCAGAAAGTGTCATAATAATGTATGAATTTCCAGAGTCTAACTGTAATGGTTTACTCTTAAAAAAATAAAAACAAAACATCCAAATTTCAGTTTTTTCGCAATAAAAACAAAACAACAGCAGATACTTTAAATCTGAAAAGTACTAAGCAATGCAATCTGCTACTATTCTCTATTTAAACAATGTCGCATCGCTTATGATAACCGAGATCCCAATCGTTGCCCTCGAAAAACGGACACCCTGTATATCATATCCCAATATACACATACAAATATTAGTAAAAATAGATTTTGAATATCAACAAAATATTATTAATAGTATAAGGCAAAAATTTGTGTGAAAACAGGTCATTAGATTACACATTAAAGGCATACGCATTCACTTTCTAAATGAAGGTGATGAAAGGTAATTAGAATCAAAACATGTAATCATCATTATTATCCATGGCCCAATTTAAAATATGCTCATATCTTTCTAAATGAAAGATAATTAATAAGAAAACATGTCATTATCATTAATCTCTCTCTATACATTTTACATGTGTATAAATACTTCATCGTTTGTGCTTAATGGTTTCAGTATTCGCAAATCAGTGAATACACTTCAACCTTTTTCGTTGTTATTAAAATATGGCTCCAACAAATATTGAACAAATTAAAAAGTTCACGTTTTTTTTGGCGGGTAAAGTAAGTAGCGCTGAGGAAGTGGACGAGAGTGGTAGTGGGTATGGATCTTTAATCTGTGAAGCAAGTGTGCATATTTTTGATACCGATCTTCCAAAGCGGCGTGATCAACTATATCGACAATGGAAAAACAACTCTGGAAACATACGAGGTTTGCTTGAAATTTTTTTAATTTTAAACCAATCTTCTTTAGGTACTCATACTACTCCTGATAGTACAGATGACCAACCCCCTACAGATGAACAAACAACCGCTGACTTAGATATCTCTTTCCATGACTTATATCCCAACGATTTAGACATTATTAGTAATATTGATATGTATGACATGAATAATGAGGAATCTGTAACTGATGACCATAACATAAATCAAGACGTTCACGTAGGTCGTACTCAAACTGATTTTGATATAGCTATGCAAAATTCTTTTATTATTCTTGATACATCACTATATGAGCAGTATGACATCAAATGTTTAGATAACGCAGAAAAATCTGACACAATTGTTGACACCAGTCTCTTTACATTCAAAATAAATGCAACATGCATATTCGCAGACAGATTTATATTTGGTAAACACTACAATTATTTTCTGTGTAAAACTATTAAAGAGTTCTACTCAGATTGTGCCTTATACGTACGATCAAAACGTATAAACAAACATACAAATACTGCTGTGATTTATATGTATTGTACTTACAAATCTTGCCGCCAGTTCAAATGTACTTTATTTTTGGATACACTTTCTGAAGACGATTTTATGCAAGGTAGTTTTCAAGTACAGGGTAAATTTGATCACGAAAAGGAGGATTACGTTGTGCATAAACAAATACGAGGCCAGGCTCGCAATGCGGCCAAGCAGGAGTTAGAACACATGACAGCTCTTAAGTATAGGCAAAATAAGATATTAGTAGCCGATGAACAATTATTAGATAAAAAAAACAATACAATACAAGAATTGTTCGATAAACAGAGGAATGTTATTTTATATCTAGACTGTACAGGAACCGTTGTTAGAAAGCTTAATAAAAATAGTAAACGAGTTTTTTACTATGCCGGAGTAATACAATACCCAGTAGGAAACTCTAATGTTTTATTACCTATTATTGAAATGATTTCTGACTCTCATACATCCAATACCATACAGAGATGGTTGTCTTTTTATTGGAACCTAAAATTCCCATTTAATAGTGTTGTTACGGATTTTAGCTGGGCACTTCTTAATGCCGTCATTAATAAGTACTGTGTCATGACCGTATTAGAATACCTTCACGCAACTTATAACCTATTAAAAAATAATACAGAAATTCCGAATGAATTTATAACAGTACATATTTGTTGCGCACATTTTGCGAAAATTGTTGTTACAGATGCGTCAAAATTGTCAGGAAAGAATAAAAGTCTAAGATCATTTTTAATTGGGGGTGTTCTAAACAATTTAATGTTGAGTAATACATACGTAGAATGCAAGTTAGCATTTGCTGATTTTTCGTTGATTTTATTGAGTCCTTACATAAATCCAAATGTGGAAGAAGCCATACAAAGATTTTCGAAATGCGAAACTATTGATCCTGTTGACGATGACGTAGATGAATTTTTCGAAGTTAACGAAAATATAAATTTAAAAAATTTGTTCAGCAAGAGTCCTTTTTACCTGGAATGTCTTAAAATAAAAAATGGCGTTGATGTAAGTTCTGATTCAAATTTTAAAGTCAATCCTTGGTACTGTCCTTCTTTTCTATATGTTTGTCTTTTAAAATATATGCCATATTTACCCTTATGGAGCAAGTTATGCGTTAGGAGTACACACAAAGATGTACTATCAAATGCTAGTGTTGAATCGTGGTTTAATGTAGTAAAAACGCACATTTTAGAAAAAAAAGTCAATTTGAAGTGTTCTCGATTTGTTCAGCGTTTACGCGATTACATATGTTCTAAAAAAAAAGAAATTAAATTTAATTTGTTGGTTAAAAAACCTCGCAGAATAAAAGCTTCCCAAGAATTAGAAAGCACAGAAGAATTATGGAATAAAAAACCCAAACGCAAGGCAACCCATCTACGCCGAAAAATCATTGTTCCTAATTTACAGACCGTGTTACAAAAAGACATAATAGACCAAAAACTTTTTTTCAACAATAGGGTGTTTCGATATAATACTTATTTTACCAAAAATTTTACCATTTCTGAAATTTCTGTGTATATTGCAAAATATGATCTCTGCGACTTTTATATGACAGATCTCGATTTTAGAGATTACTGTACACTAGCTAATCAAACCCACGGCCCGCGGGCCGCATCCGGCCCGCCAATAAGTTTTGTCCGGCCCGCAAACATAATTCATAGTTAATATAGAATGGGATCAAAGAAACTTTTTTAAACACGTTTTTATTGGTTCTATTGCGGCTATCGATTTCAACCTCGTAAGGTCATCTTCAGGCCGAGCGTCAATACTGTGAGATGAGGAGGCATGTACTATTATTAGCGGAGTAGTATGTGTTAGTTATCAGGAAAGATGTTTACTAAAAGTGAGGTTGTGTTTTTATTAATTCATATAATTATGTACACGTGTAGCATCTATCGTACGCGATCCGCAGCTCCGAAGACGTGTGAAAGCCTCTGCGAAAACCGAGATATCTAGGCAGGGACTGACGAGATAACTCGGTAAAATTCAGCAATTTTCGATGCGTTATATATAAAAGCATACGCGAGTCGCGGTGAAAACACTAATTCGATACGTTTTGCAAGTGAGCTACGTAGTTTATCTAAAACGGGGTGAAAACATAGATTTAGTTATTTAGTTAGCTTGAAAGGATTTTTCATAAAATATGTCCGGGCCATCTTCCAGTAAATACAGAAAAGTTGATCAAGAGCATCGTATTTTCCAGGAAAAATGGACCGAAGAATATTTTTTTGTTATGTATAAGGGAAAACCAATTTGTCTGATATGTAATGAATCCGTAGCAGTTTTAAAAGAATACAATTTAAGAAGACATTACTCGACGAAACATTTGCAGAAATTCGGAGA